AAACAGGATTTCAGGGCCACCTCTTTCACGGCGTGAGAAATATACCCGGCCAAGCAGAAGTGAAAACCCTCACCATCCAGCTTAACCGTCATGGTGAGTTGTGGACCAACACCATAAGATCAAATCACAACTGAAACCATGACTGATTCCTCGGCGATTGGATTACTGTCAATGGCGGAGGGTGTTGAGAATATTAGGATTACAGATCTGAACAGCTACGGTTTACCGAGGCGGTTAAGATACAACTGCAGATTAATTCCATGCGATGCAACGCTTCAAGAACTGGAAGAACGTAAGAAAATAAAGTAGTACATTGTAGAGCTCAGCAAAGTTAGATTAAAGAAGGATACGTTGTAAGAACTTAACAGTGGGTACCTCTTGATCTGCAGATAATCGATAAATGGAAAAACAGGGGGGATCAGGGTTCATCATCCATAGAAGAAAAACAAACAATATAGTGTAGGTGGAGAGCATTTTGGGGAGGTGCGAAAGAGTGGTTGTGAGAATTTGAAAATGATACGGACTCCGGATGATCCAAGTATATCTTCTGTCATGAAGCCATCCTGATGAAAAGACTGAAAACGTTTGATGAGAAACAAACGAAATGAGCATGCAAAGGGCCGCTACAGATTCATTATTATTTGAATTTGCCAGCTCTTAAAGGCGCAGCTGTGCATCGTCTGGAGAACCTGTTGTCAGCCTCCTACCATTGTAAGGTAAGGAAGAGAAACATAGGAGGGGGAACTGTTTAATGTTTTTGCGCATTTTTAAACATAGGCGAATTCTCTGTATTCTGAGGGCCATGCGAGTTGCATAGGCTAATAAAATTCGAATGATTGAACAGCCAGGTAATGTCTGTCGTAGCGTGTGCTATACTTCACAAAAACACAGCAGTTCCTACCAAAAATTGACTTAAAGTTTTTCACGAATTCTTTTTTATCGCATTAGCATTTCTTCTGCCCTTATTACCTATCATCTTTGATATTCTTCTTTTTCGACTCGTTGACTTTTCGCTGTAATCGTTGGAATAACGTGTCAAAATATTAAATGACGTCCATTATATGGTTCGAAAGCAGCGGGGAACAATTTATTTGGTCTAGTTTGGCAAACGCTCAAAAAACGCTGTTCAATCCGCCTCTTCAATCAGCATGATCGATGACACCGTCTGGAAACGAAGGTTTAAACCACTGAAGCAGTTTTTTGCCACGAAGTAAGCTGTCGGTCGTTTTGGCGCGTTTCGCCAAACAACAGGTAATGTTCACAAGTTTTGTGCGTACATCTAAGCCGTTCGATCCCAACAAAACAACGTAGTAATAGCAGAATACCGTAAGCAAGCATTTTTAGGTCACCTCTGACCGCCCCTGCGTAAATGTAGGACGGCGGTATTTCGCAATCTTGGAGGAATCGGGTTATGGGGGGGGGGACATTAACGTTTTCCAGGAAACGGGTAACGATAACAGTAGTTGATCTTTCCTCATATGAGTCAAAAATTTGGCCTCCGAACGAAAGTCAGATTCCTGCAAGCCACTGAGAGATCAGTATTACTGTATGCTTGTTAATCGTTGTCGGATGGCATAAGGATCTGAAGTGTGGACCATTTATGCCCCCGGATTCTACAGCGAGTGTGCACCTTCTATAAAACAGTGTTCAACTCAGAGATTTGGGGTTTCTGCAATTCCCAAATCACATTTGACATCGACGAACGGCCCGAAGGACCTGAATGGACGCGGTTACGCCTGACCACGAAGAGATTTTGTGACCAACGGTCTGCGGATTATGAAGGCAGATGAAGAATGGCCATCGATAATGACGAATCTAGCGTCGACCTGTGGCATAGGAGGCAACAATCACAATGTCACTAAACCCAGCAAAGCCAGTCATAGCTTTAGCAACCACAATGGTAAGCGGGAAAGTTTTCTTTATTCTTTATTTGGGGATTAATATGGGCGTA